TTGTGTAGGGAACTTCGTGATCAAAGAGAAATCAATTTACCTACTCAGATTTACTGCGTCTCCGAAACTACAAGCTATAGTTTAAGAAATAACTCTGAAATAACTCTGAAATTTACAGTCGAAAAGCCCCTTATGCCAATCCCTTTCTACGCGACACAATAAATTTATGGAATGCCCTACCAAATTCCAAAGAGTCATGCAGTCTCAAAGAATTTTAAAACCTAATTACAAAAGCCGAAAACAAGATTTATATTGATCTTAATTATGGCTCTTGTTTTTGTCAAATCGTTCACTGCCACCTCAGGCTCGGATCTAGCGACCCAAACGCCGATAAGTATAACAGACATTTAATAAACAGTGCATGTTGCTCTTGTGGATATCAACTACCCGTTATAACCTGGATAATTTTTTGAACGGAAACAAAGAATTTACTCCTTGTGTAAACCAGAAAATAGTCGAATCCGTCCACGATTATCTCATCAAGACACAACCTTCAGTAATACTTCACCAATCCCAATTCATTTTCATAAATAATAATAAAATATGTTTAAACCAAAATGACTTTCAAACTTCCTAATAGTCAATAAAAATGTGTTATCATAATTACATATTCTTCTGAATAAATAAAATATTCAATGAACTATTTAATGAACTCATCAATGAACTATGCCTCCTGTGGGTACTGGGCTGGGCTGATCCCACTTTCATTGTAGGGATGTGGAAACACCACATATGTGCACTGAACCATTAACTAATGTCTCTCACAACTGGCAGTTCTCACAAATGGGAGGACACCCTGAAAACTGTCGTTGTGTCTGACATAGTTTGACATGTTGCAGGCCATGGTCTTGTCAAAGGCCAAGGTCGAATATCGTAACGTTCTGTTGTGACGTCACTTGAATTGTTCCATTACGTAATTGCATTCGGTCAGTCAACCCCGTCAGAAGTTACAGTCAAATTCCTTCATTGTTTCCTTTTTCTTTTCAAAACAAATTCCATGTATTTTTGCAATAACAACGGTAATGCTTTTTTTGAGGGCATTATCATTTGCAGAAGCCCTCGGTCTTTTTCCTTCGTCGGGCAGTTAATGGAAGACCTCGGGCTTCTGCAAATGATAATGCCCTAAAAAATAGCATTACCCTTATAGCAGAAAACCTTACTGACTGACTGACTGACTGACTGACTTTAGTTTTACGCCGTTTTTTTGGCAATATTCCAGCAATACCACGGCGGGGGACACCAGAAATGGGCTTCACACATTGTACCCATGTGGGGAATCGAACCCGGGTCTTCGGCATGACGATCCAACGCATTAACTACTAGGCCCCACCGCCCCTACAGAAACATTTAAACGTCCATACCATAATTCCATAAAACAGAAGATATTTAAAAATTTGTTTGAACAAATAATCCTGAATAATCATGTAACAAAGCATTTTGAATGAACTTTGATGTCACGTATCTCGTGGCACGAGTACTTTGTGCACAATGAACTAACTCACTTTTTGCATGCCTTTTAACACCTGAAGTTCACACACCTGATATTGATATTGATATTTAATCTCTCGCCTCTGAATGTTGTAGAAAACACGCTAACTTCAATCCAAACTGCGCGTACGTCATGCCACGGCTTACAGAAAATCAGCGTCTCCGCGCCGTGGGTATGCTGGAGACTGGGATGTCCCAAAATGAAGTGACATGTTGGTGTCCATCGAAACACGGTCTCATCTCTATGGAGACCTTTTGAACATAATGGGATTTGCCTCATACCGGCCGTCCACGCGTGACGTCACATCAAGACTATCCCATTCAACTGACCCATCTAAGGAATCCAGACTGGCAGTTTGACTGCTCGGACCATTCCTGGCTTACGTCCAATCAGTTCCAGGACTGTAGGAAACAGACTGAGGGAGTAATACATCCGACCCCGACCGGCTGCAATACGTCCAACTGTGCTCCAACGTCACCGACAGACACGTGTTGCCTGGTGCAGACAGCATCTACGGTACTGGGGACAAGATTGGGATGGTGTTTTGGTCACTGACGAGTCGAGATTTCATCTGAACTGCACAGATGGCAGGGCAAGGGTGAACGGTATGCTGACGCGTGCGTTGTTCGACTTTGAAAGTTTGGTGGCGGAAGTGTTATGGCATCAACGTCAATGGTGGACACACACAATTCTGAATTTGTGAACTGACTTTTCACACCACATCTCTTCAAGAGACGTTATGCTGCAGTTATAGAAGGATGTTCCACACACAGCAAACTGCCTCCAAGCCGACCGATCCTATCGTCATAATGCTGCCACATATCAATCCACTTACCTAACAGTGAGTGAGTGAGTGAGACTTAATTAATCCCTTGATCTTTGAACAATTCTTCGGTGATTTCAGTACAAGTCGGCAACTTAAGTTACAGATAGCATATGCCGATATTGTCTCCATAAGGAACAAAGTCCGAAGTGTTGAACGTTTACGTTTGTGAAACGTATAAGCATGGTGTAAACAGGCCATGGATCTAATCTGATCTCAGATTGAAACACCGACATATATGGGACCTTTCATACAGCTGGGGATTAGCACAAGCTGGTAATTTCATAATGAGATCACTGAATAATCTACAATTCACTTCTTTCAATTTGTGATACGAAAATTTATTCGGTTATAATGGTGGATCGTATTGGAATGGTTTGGCTCCTGGTGAACAAAATATCAGGAAAATATGTTGCCCTTATCCACGGCAAATTCTCACCAAATGACCTGCGTTACAGTGACCTTATTATGTCACCTTGTCTTTAGGCGTGTTTAACCTTGCAAACGTCTTTGACGTCATAGAGGAAAATGTATGGCAAGCTGTTGTTTCCGTTGAACGTATAAAGTCATACATAAGAATACAAATCCATTTGATACATAGTTATTCCGTTCACGTATCAGGTAGAGTGTGGGGTATGTGTCATACGTTTATGGAGACGACATTCAGTCGATGTGTATGTTGATATTTGTGAAAGGATGATTCAGAGGAAATGTAATTTTCGACTTATTGTGTTACACCATAAGAAATATATTGCAGTTGTTGCGTTTTGTAAAAATGACTGGGAGTTATATGGAATATTGGACACTGATTATGTTTAAGTTATTTACATTTTGTGTTTGAACATGTGTAATAATTATTGTAGAATACTTTGGTGCAGGGATATGTATAATAAGTTGAGGTACCGGACTTTTAGTGTTTGGACACATGTTGTCAGTGAAAAAGCACATTTAGTACTATGGTACTATTGATAAGTCCGGGGTGAGACATACATGCAGTATAATTGTATTTCATCATTCTACCTGTTGCACTCACTCACTCACTCACTCTTTCACAGGGATACTTCTGCTCTACTTCACACAATAGGACTGCTTGACATTTAGTGTTTGAGCATGTGTAACAATTATTGTTGAAGACTTTGATGAAGGGACATGTATAATAAGTTGAGGTAGCTGACACTTAGTGTTTGGACACATGTTATCATTTAAGAAGCAGCGTTTAGTCCTGAGGTACGATTGATAAGTCCGAGGTAATAAACATACGGTCGATGCAGGACGTGGCAAAGAATACATTGGTCTGACGAAAGGTGATTGTAACTCCTGGACGCTTGTGAAATTAGAGGAAGCGAAATACAGCATCTGCAGCAAATATGTTCAAGAATGTTCAAGCAACTGTTGCCTTTGGTGGAGATTCCGTCATGGTGGAGCTGTGTCTCTCATGACTGTAAACGTAACCAACTTTACTTCAAACATTCAGCTTTGTAAAAAATACCGGGGGTGTTTAACTTTTGTCCATGTGTCTATATTGAATGTTATATATTGACTATATTAAAGTAGTTACATTTAGTGTTTGGACAAATGTTGTAAGATAAAAAGCAGCGGTTGATAAGTCTGAGGTGAAAACACACGGCCGATGCAGTAGAATTTTATTTTAACATTATACATGATGCAGTATTGCATCTCTTTCGCAGGGTTTTCTGGTCTACCTCACACAATAGGGCTACTTGGAAGGTGAAGGACGCCGTTCAGGACGTAGATGACGCCGTTGGTGGCATGAATCACGTTCATGATGCTGACCCTGTTGAACTGGTGCATGTGACCTGCAATGTATTCCCAACAAAATGGTTTGAGTCCGTTTCAAACAGCACTGGTTGAGGATTAGAAAGCCATGTTGAGAGAGCTTATAAGAATGTTTCCTAAATTGCGTAGGCTCAAATGAGTTGATATGTATCGACGTCTTTTCAGACGTCAAAGAAAATGAAGCACATTCGAATTAGTTAGTCTTAAACAGTCTTGAAACAGTCAGTCCGTTTCGAGGCATATTCTTGAGAGCCATGCGATAATAATTTGCAAATAGAATTACTTGAATCATGACTAACTGATACATAGCCTGTAGGAAAACATCTGACATGTCTGCATAGGTCCAGGAATCCAAATGTGAAGACTTTTACTAAAGACTTGATAATAACCGGAGCCGTAATATTAGTAAAAATTGTAATAGTAAGCCATTTCTGTGACAGACTTTTGTCATTAGATTTGTTCACAAACAAATGAGTTGCCAATGCAAAACATTGTTTTCCCCTCGAATTGGGGTTAACAGTTTGATGAAAAAATATCCATTCAATATCCAATGATCTCGATTTTACAACAATATATTGTCCAATGAAATTGTTGACAGGTCAAAAGAATGCTGTGTAAAAGTCCAAGAAAAAGGTCTGTACACATGGGTGTGAATTTGTGTTGACTTAATGTTGTAGTCAGAAACGGTTAACCCAGACAATCATGACCTGTACACAAAGCAGACACAAATAGTGTACAGGATTGGGTCTTCAGTGTGTACTGGTTATCATTTTCAATGTGTACTAGCTCTGTCTGACTCATTTAGTCTCTGATGATATGTGACTCACCGTTCTGCATGGAGACGTGGATGCGGTGTCCCTCCACAGAGGTGAGCATGTCGTTCTGATGCAAAGAATCGGGGCCGTGGATGCCGTCCAAGATGTGGTACATCATTGTGCCTGAAAAACACACACCCAAACTTGCAACACTGTGTGTGATATAGTCATTTTATATAGCTGATCTATTTGTGTAGATAAATACAAATTAAAGAAATACCCAGATAGTGTCAAGTAACGTGTGAATATTTTGTGGAATATGAACCAAAGAGGTGTTCATACTCTTCAGAAAATTGGCCTGCTTGTCAAGGTTGTTTCGGTAGGCCGTCGGGAGGCTGCTGAACGCTGCATTGGTTGGCGCAAGAAGGGTCACTTGGGGTCCTACAGGAAGAGATTATAGGCATTGTGTGGAAGAGACATGTTCAGCAATACGTGTTTGGCCCCAAAGACAAGTTCATGTTTCAGTTCAAGCATTGACAGAATTGTTGTATTACCGTGGCTTATACTAATGAACACGTTAGAAACAAATCAGAAAAAAGAATGACATTCTGTCTTCAAGAAGTAAATGTGTTACTTACTCTCGATCTCGCTCCATGTTTTAGTTTTCATCAAGTCCGCAATCAAGGTGCTGTACTGACCATAGCTCTGACTTAGAACATGTGCTATACCATGCCATGAGTCCGTTGCCATTCATAGTACCGGTTGCCATTGATAGTGCAGTTGACACCCAAGGTTCCGTTGGGGCAGATTGAGCCGTTGCCATGGTGAGAGCAGTTAACACCCCAGGTTCCGTTGGGGCAAAATGTGCTGTTGCCATGGGTTCCGTTGCCATTGCGAGTGCAGTTTCTACCCCATGTTCCGTTGATGCATATTGAGCCATTGGCATGCTGGATTAGATGATTGACAGTGTTGGCGTTATATGTGAAGTTTCCATGGGTACCGTTGCCATGGTGAGTGCAGTTTATCCCCCAAGTGCCATTCCATAGAACGTATAAAGTCACACATAAGAATACAAATCGATTTGATACATTGTTATGTCGTTCACGTACCGGGTAGTATGTGGGATATGTATAATACGCTTATGGAGACGACATTCAGTCCACGTGCATGTTGGTGTTTGTGAGAAAGATGATTCAGAAGAAATTTTATGTTAGACCATGTGTGATTAAAGTAGCAGGCATATTGTATTACAGCATCAGAAATATATTGTGTAAGTGTGTATTAATATAGCGCTGTATTCCATGCATCGGCATGCTCTAAACGCACAGGAATAAAACTATATACAAAGTCTGGATGTACACACTTCAGAGTTCAGGCACAGAAAGCTTGTTGAAGAAGAAAGGTTTTACTGTTCTACGAAATGATTGAAGAGACGGTGAGTCTTTTACATGTGCTGGGAGGTTGTTCCACTCTACAGCTGCGATGTAGGAAAAGCTTCTCTGTCCATAGCGAGCAGCCATGGCCTTTGGAACTGTGAGGAGGTTCTGGCTTGAGGATCTGAGTGTCCTGAAGGGATGGTGAACCTCAATCATGTCACGGAGATACCCTGGAGCTGTGCCAGAGACGCAATGATAAGTCAGACAGAGGACTTAACTTCAGTCTGTATTCCACTGGTTACCAATGCAGGTTCTTCAGAACGGGCGTTATGTGATCGTATCTGCGTGTGAGTGAGACAATATTCGAGCTATTGTGTTTTTGATTCTCTGAAATTTAGATGTGACAGCTATTGGTGCTCCGGCAATGAGGCTGTTGCAGTAATCAAGACGGGAAAGTAATAGTGACACTGCTAATGTTGCAGCAGACTGAGTAGTGATGTATTTCCGGATAGAGCTGATATTTCTGATGTGAAGATAGCACTGTTTTGAGAGCTGGTTTGCATGGTTTTCCATCGTCATCTCAGAGCCCAGTACGACGACCAGGTTTTTTTTACAGAATGAGAAACTGCGATAGATGAAGAACCAAATGTAAAACGTTTTCAGTTTATTCCGTACCCGTCGTCTGGAAGGGAGGGGAAGGGAGAGGGAGCAATCAGAAGTGCTTCAGTTTTCTCATTGTTCAGTTTGAGCTTATTGGCTGTCGTACATTTCTTTATATCCTCATAGTAGAGTGACATCCTGGAGTTTGCAGCAATTCCTGAAGATATTTGTAGCTTGAACAAATCTAGAAGCTGAGAATCGTCTGCCTAAAAGTGTCTTTGGAGTCAGAGGGTCTTAGTATAAAGTGTGAATATGACAGGTCCCAACACTGAGCCTTGTGAAACTCCACACACTAACTTGCTTGATGTTGAGGTGTATCCATCGATGGACACTGCCTGGCTTCTATCACTGAGGTAGAAGTCAAACCACGGCAATGCAGGATCCTTGATCCCAGTCTGACTCTCAAGGCACTTAAGGAGGTTTCTGTGGTCAATAGTGTCAAATGCTGCACTAAAATCTAAAAGAACTAACAGAGCAACATTTCCTTTATCGACACCGTTTCGGATTTCACTAAGTACGTGGAGCAGGGCTGTTTCCGTGCTGTGTCGTGGACGATAAGCTGAGTGAAAGGGCTCTCGTAGGTTAGACTTGTCAAGGTGTCCGGACAACTGAAGACACACTGCACGTTGTATTATCTTTGAGAGGACTGACTGACTGAGTATGGTTTTACGCCGTTTTTAGCAATATTCCAGCAATATCACGGCGGGGGACACCAGAAATGGCCTTCAGAAATTGTACCCATGTGGGGAATCGAACCCGGGCCTTCGGCGTGACGAGCGAACGCTTTAACCACTAGGCTACCCCACCGCCCGATCTTTGAGAGGAATGATAAGTAGTTGAAGCAGTTGACATTCAGTGTGTGTTAGCATGCGTAATAATTACTGTAGTAGACTTTGATGCAGGAACATGTGTGGCAAGTTGAGGTACCGGACATTTAGTGTTTGGATATATGATATAAGTTAAAGAAACAGCTATTAGTGCTGGAACACGATAGACAAGTTGGAGGAGAACACATACGGCCGATGAAGTATCATTTTATTTCAACATTCTACGTGATGCAGTAGTGCATCTCTTTCACAGGGGACCCGTGAAGATCCGGGTTAGAATTGATCTTCAGTAACAAATGCTTGTCGTAAGAGGCGACTAACGGGATCGGGTGGTTGACACATGTCATCGGTTCCCATTTGCGTAGATCGATGCTCATTCTGTTGATCACTGGCTTGTCTGGTCTAGACTCGATTATTTACAGACCGCCGCCATATAGCTGGAATATTGCTGAGTGCGGCGTAAAACTAAACTCACTCACACTCTTTCACAGGTTACTTCTGCTCTACTTCATACAATAGGGCTGCTTGGAAGGTGAAGGACTCCGTTCAGGACGTAGATGACGCCGTTGGTGGTATGAAGCACGTTCATGATGCTGACCCTGTTGAACTGGTGCACGTGACCTGCAATGTATTCACAACAAAATGTTTCTTAGCCCCTTTCAAACAACACTCGTTGATGTTTAGAAAACGTGAAGGTGGTGGGGTGTCATCCCATGAATAAATTTGCTTCATGTCAATTTATTGTCTGCAACAATTAGTTAACATGGCAGACAGTAGGTAAACGTGCGTCTTCAGTGTGTACTGTTTGCGTTTTCAATATGTACTGTTTGCGTCTTCAATATGTAAAGGTTTGCGACTTGAATGTGTACTGTTTGCGACTTGAATGTGTACTGTTTGCGTCTTCAATATGTACAGGTTTGCGACTTGAATGTGTACTGTTTGCGTCTTCAATATGTACAGGTTTGCGACTTGAATGTGTACTGGTTTGCGACTTGAATGTGTACTGTTTGCCTCTTCAATATGTACTAGTTTGCGACTTGAATGTGTACTGTTTGCGTCTTCAATATGTACAGGTTTGCGATTTATATGTGTACTGTTTGCGTCTTCAGTGAGTACAGGTGTGCGACTTGAATGTGTACTCTTTGCGTCTTCAATATGTACAGGAATGTGACTTGAATGTGTACTGTTTGCGTCATCACTGTGTACTGGTTTGCGACTTGATTGTGTAGTGGTTTGCGTCTTCACTGTGTACTGGTTTGCTACTTGATTGTGTAGTGGTTTGCGTCTTCCATATGTACTGGTTTGCGACTTGAATGTGTACTGTTTGCGTCTTCAATATGTACAGCTTTGCGACTTGAATGTGTACTGTTTGCGTCTTCCATATGTACTGGTTTGCGACTTGAATGTGTAGTGGTTTGTGTCATCAATGTGTATTGGCTTTGTCTTTTGAATGTACATGTCTCCTTCCTCAAAATGTCATTTAGTCTCTGATGATATGTGTCTCACCGTTCTGCATGGAGACGTGGATGCGGTGTCCCTCTAGGGAGGTGAGCATGTCGTTCTGATGCAGGGAATCGGGGCCGTGGATGCCGTCCAAGATGTGGTACATCATTGTGCCTGAAAAACAACAACAAAGATTGAAACATTGTACTATTTCATATGGTCGTTTGTCATTTCATACAGCTGGATCTTTCGTGGAGGTAAATAACACTTGAAGAAATATCCAGTTCGTGTTAAATAATGTGTGAATGCTTTGTGCAATAAGAAATAAATAGGTTACATACTCTTCAGAAAATTGGCGTGCATGTCAAGGTTGTTTCGGTAGGCAGTCGGGAGGTTGCTGAACGCTGCATTGGTCGGCGCGAAAAGGGTCAATTTGGGTCCTACAGGAGGAGATTATAGGCATTGTGTATTTACGGAAGTGATATATTCCCCAACACGTGTTTGGCCACTGGCTCTTAACATGGAAGGGGCTGTGTGACACAGCTACTCTTCACGTCGAGGCAAACTCATGTTTCAGTTCAAGCATTCACAGAATTGTTGTATTATCGTGGCTTATGCTAATGAGCACGTTAGAAACAAATCAGAAAAACAAATGAAATAAAGGTAAAGTTAAAGCAAAGAATGACACAATGTCTTCAAGAAGTAAATGTGTTACTTACTCTCGATCTCGCTCCAGGTTCTAGTTTTCATCAGGTCTGTACTCAAGGTGCTGTACTGACCATAGCTCTGACTTAGAACATGTGCTATACTGCCATGCGTCATATTGCCATGAGTACCGTTACCATGGATAGTGCAGTTGACACCCAAGGTTCCGTTGGGGCAAATTGTGCCGTTGCCATGGTGAGAGCAGTTAACACCCCAGGTTCCGTTTCTGCATATTGAGCTATTGGCATGCTGGATTGGATGATTGACAGTGTTGGCGTTATATGTGAAGTTTCCATGGGTACCGTTGCCATGGTGAGTGCAGTTTCTCCCGTATGTCCCATTAATGCATATTGAGCCATTGCCATGCTGGATTGGGTGATTGGTGAAGTTTCCATGGGTACCGTTGCCATGGTGGGTACAGTTTCTTCGGTAAGTCCCGTTAATGCATATTGAGCCATTGGCAAGCTGGATGAGATGATTGACAGTGTTGGCGTTATATGTGAAGTTTCCATGGGTACCGTTGCCATGGTGTGTACAGTTTCTTCCGTAAGTCCCGTTAATGCATATTGAGCCATTGGCATTCTTGATTGGGTAGTTGACAGTGTTGGCGTTATATGTGAAGTTGCCATGGGTACCGTTGCCATGGTGTGTGCAGTGTCTGCCGTAGGTCCCGTTAATGCATATTGAGCCATTGGCATGCTTGATTGGGTGATTGGTGAAGTTTCCATGGGTACCGTTGCCATTGTAGGTACAGTTTCTACCGTACGTCCCGTTAGTGCATATTGAGCCATTGGCAAGCTGGATGAGATGATTGACAGTGTTGGCGTTATATGTGAAGTTTCCATGGGTACCGTTGCCATGGTGTGTGCAGTGTCTGCCGTAGGTCCCGTTAATACATATTGAGCCATTGCCATGCTGGATTGGGTGATTGGTGAAGTTTCCATGGGTACCGTTGCCATTGTGGGTACAGTTTCTACCGTAAGTCCCGTTAGTGCATATTGAGCCATTGGCAAGCTGGATGAGATGATTGACAGTGTTGGCGTTATATGTGAAGTTTCCATGGGTACCGTTGCCATGGTGTGGTACAGTTTCTGCCGTAGGTCCCGTTAATGCATATTGAGCCATTGGCATGCTTGATTGGGTGATTGGTGAAGTTTCCATGGGTACCGTTGCCATTGTAGGTACAGTTTCTACCGTACGTCCCGTTAGTGCATATTGAGCCATTGGCAAGCTGGATGAGATGATTGACAGTGTTGGCGTTATATGTGAAGTTTCCATGGGTACCGTTGCCATGGTGTGTGCAGTGTCTGCCGTAGGTCCCGTTAATACATATTGAGCCATTGCCATGCTGGATTGGGTGATTGGTGAAGTTTCCATGGGTACCGTTGCCATTGTGGGTACAGTTTCTACCGTAAGTCCCGTTAGTGCATATTGAGCCATTGGCAAGCTGGATGAGATGATTGACAGTGTTGGCGTTATATGTGAAGTTTCCATGGGTACCGTTGCCATAGTGGGTACAGTTTCTTCCGTAAGTCCCGTTAATGCATATTGAGCCATTGGCATGCTTGATTCGGTGACTGACAGTGACAGTTTCTACCCCAAGTTCCATTACGACACTGGACATATGTTGGACGGCGGTGTTGTCCAGACGTTTTGTTGGTGGTTTTGTTCAGCAGCCCTGACCCCTGTAGCACGACCTTGCTGACAAGGAAGATAAAGCCGTTGGAGGCTTTCTTGTTGAATCCATTAATCTTGACACCGTTCACGAAAACTGCCTGCATTAACAGAAAAACAGACCAGACTCACGGGGTGCTAAATCAGCATCACCAAGATCGAAATCTACTCCAAATACCCTGTATATTATAAAAATTTCTGTCAGAACATACCTAGTACATACCTGCCCATACACCCTGAACTGTAAAATGCATGTTCTATCTACCACAATCCTTCCCATACACCCTGACTCATCAGGGATTTGTACCACCTGGCATATACCTTCTCTTTGTTTACCTTAGTTTTAGAGTCATTCAGGTTCAAGAATCTACACGGCAGTGTGACAGGGTTGGTGTGTCATTCTTGTCATTGAAATACAGGAATCAACCACAGCACAGCTGTACTTCTTGTTAAGTGTGGTCTAATTATCATTAAAGTACAGGAATCTACACTATATTATCTGTCCTTCTTGTTTACCTTGGTTTTAGTGTGGTTAAAGTACAGGAATCGTCCCGACAGCGTCCTTAGTTTCTTGTTTCGGATCAATTCGGATGTGTTGTATGTTCCATTGACGGAGTGGAAGAGGATGAGCTGAGTCAGCAGGGTCTTGTTTCCTGTGATGTTTCTAGACAGACCATGGAAGGCCTAGTTGTCTGGGACGAAAAGGGTGAAGTTCCCAGCTGAAACATCATGTAACCGCATAGTCTCATTTTCAAAGGACCAAGGTTTTGTTCACATAATTCTTTTGCCGTTCGTGAAGGAAGAATCCACAGAGCCATGCAGAAAAACAAAAGTAGCAAACAACTTTATGCAAATCAGAGGAAATTGTAGGGAAATATGCTTAACTATCGTGAAATATATTTTGCCATTAACCGAGTTGAAACATTACGTCACATTAACAAACATGCAGTGAAACTGCAAACACCCAGATATTCGTGACCAACTCGTATCAAACCGAAAAATGGGAAAGGGGGAATTATAAAACAGTGGAGAATAGAAAAGTGGAAATGTAGGAACATAGACTAAGGTTTCATCTCATTACAACTATTTAGGCATCCTTTTTTCATCCCGATTATCATGGAACAACGGTGTGAACAATTTAACTTTGAAGGCACATAAGAGTTTGTGAGGTCTGTCAATAATCTAGTCTGGACCTAACAATCCAGTGATCAACTGCATGAGCACCCATCTGCGCATTTTGGAACCGATGACATGTGTCAACCAAGCCAGCGAGCCTGACCACCCGATCCCGTTAGTCGCCTCTTACGACAAGCATGGGTAACCGAAGGTTCATTCTAACCACGACCTTCACGGGGTGAAGGCACATACGACGGTCTTTGCAATCAAATCACTACAAATAACATTAAAAAATATACAACCGCTTATACTGTTTATAATATTTGATACATAAATCAAAACAATTTTGGTGTATTGTTCAGAAATATGGCGAGTTGAGAAGAGACCCATCATCGAACAGTTTCAGTATAAATTCTATCAATTCTGTGTATGTGCTGGAAGACACGTTTCTAATGATGCAGCTATTGGCGATTGTGAACGTTATGCTCTGCATGTTGATTATTTACCGATAAGTATTAACTATTGGTGTAAATTAATGAGACTAAAACCCAACAGATACCCTAAACAAATCTATCTCTTACTGAAAAATCTCGATCAAATTAACAGAACAACTTGGGCATCTCGTATACGAGAAATTCTATGTATGTTTGTATGTGCCTTTGTATCGCTCTCACAAGATGTTGGAGGTGTATTACATTATATAAGAGTTTAACTCGAGGAATTAAAGAATTCTTCAAGAATGGTATAACAGTTATGAATCTGAAACATTGACCACCTATCGAGGATTTAAATCATTATTAAATGTAGAATATTTCCTGTCCGCCATTACGACCAGAGAATTACGCCGAGTGCTATTTCTACTAAGATCATCTGAATTCCCACTAAGAGTAAGTGGGAACGAATACTCCTTAAGGCAATAATATGTTTAATGTGTGACCTACATGTAATCGAAAACGAATATCATTTTCAACTAGAATGTCCTGCCTATCATAACACAAGAATACGATATCTTCCATTGTATTACTGTTTTCAAACCACTACCATGAAATTTAATAACATCTGAAAATCCTATCTCGTTCAACAATTATGCGAAATTGATCAAGGAATCACTGTGAAAACGGAAAACGACTTTGAATGAGTAATTTTGAATGTCTTGTCACCTTGTCATTGTTATTCAATTGTTTCTTTTGTAAGTGGGCTGTTGGCCGTTATACCGAAATAAACTCTAAACTATGTATCTGTTCAATTCTTAAAAATATAAAGTGCAAAAGCACTCGCACATTGCTGTTTTTGAAAGAATCAAGCATCTATGATCTATTAATAATGAAAACAATAACACCAATGCTAAAATATCTGTTGAAACTGTATTCGAACATAAATATTCTCATTTGTTCATCTTTTAATTTTGAATGCATAGTTTTAAAGTTAAATACTAAGTATTTGGCATGGATAGTCACTTATTTTATATTTGTAAGCTGTAGTAAGTCCAAAGACAGGTACGCAATTATCAATACAAGATCAAATATGAATCCAGCTTCTAGTTGAAAGTAAAAATATGTCTGTTTAGTGTAACCAGATACTACTCAGCATTTATTATGAAATAGTTTCAGTTTGATAAATAAAAAAAAGCTGTGGGTACACATTAACCCTCAGCATTAACTGTGGAATATCGTCCTGAT